ACCACTTTTTGTGTTTCCACTTCCTCCCCCCCCTTTTTTTTAAATATATCTGTCGTGGAGAGGGTGAAGCCAAGCTATTTCTTGGAGGCAACGATTTTGAGGCTCTGTCTCACTTATTTTGGGCATGTTGCCAAGAGAGACCAGTCTTTGGAAAAGGACATCATGCTTAGAAGGGTGTAGGGACAGCACAGGAAAGGAAGACCCAGGATGAGATTGGCTGACATGGTAGCTGGAATAATTAGGGTAGGTATGTCAGAAACAGTAAGATTGGACCTGGATAGAGTAGAGTTCAGTATAGGGTGGCTATGAGTTGCAGGTGACCCGGCACATAACAACAACCATCACTATCTCATACTATATTCAGTACATCAATAACTATTGGTTGAGCATCTACTCTATGACAAGTGCCATATTAAAGGCTAATAATAGGGAAGTAAACAAAGAGAAACTCCTCTTGATTGAGTGTACCTGTTTGATAACTTCTACTCTCTGCAATCAATTTTCAATTCTGTTCTTAAAACTTTGAATACTATTTATTTATTTATCCCCCATTAACCACCTGTTCTTCCAGTATCTTGATCATGACTAAATTATCTGCTAGTTAGTGTCTGCATAACCCTAAGAGTTCTTAATTCTCTTACCCCTCAAATCTTTGTAATACATCCTTCAATTCCTGAAATGCTTAGATTTCTGTCAAGTCGAAGTTTATAATGCTTGTGTCTGACTAATTCTGTATATGGTGAGATAGATTTTTGTCTCCACTTTCATCACAATTTCCAAGTCTAGATATTACTAAATATGATATTTAGGTTAGATGATAAAACTCAAGGTTCAGAAAATGAGTGTTTACATAAAAGATGTTTGTTGTTCTTTGAGATGTTATTTAAATGCTCCTGAAAAAAAAAAAAAGGAAACTCTTGGAGAACTTCAGATGTGTCTATACAATTAATAGGTATGCTTAGTTGGAAACATTTGATCTGTGAAGTTTTTGACAGCTTTTTGCCTATAGCATTCCAAAGGAAACATTATGTGGTTTTCAAATTTATTTCAAATGGAAATTTTTAGTGGAAATTATTTATTAAGCAGACTGGTTGGTGCATTTGTATCCAATTTTACCGTGCTCTATCACTAGTATTTCCAGTGTCAACAGTTACTCTTAAGGCTAGAAAATATTGACAATATGATAATTTCTAATCCAGAGATACATGTTCCAATGCAGTTCCTATTTTCTGTAAATGGTTTTGGTAAGAGGAATATTGTAAATGTGGATACAGTTTCCACTATTCCTCCTCTATGCCACAATATAGTATTATTAGCATGAGCAGTTATAAATCCATTGCCATCCTTACTCTAAATTCTTTTTCTAAAATTTAAATTTATTATTAATTTCAGTGAAAATTTACAGAGGTTTTGGATTTCCATTCATTCATTGTTGCACATTTGTTCCCTCCCAAGGCTCCCCCCCACCCCCAGAACACTACCCTCTTGGAAAAGTAAAAGAAAAATTCTTTCATTGTTTTACAAACCCTTCCCCAGGTCCACTCCACCATGTAGCCGTTGCTCTAGACTCCTGTCATGACAGAAATACCTAATCACATATCTCTTTTAGAGTTTTCTCCCTCCTCTGTTTCAGTGCAGTATACATTATTGAACCCATCTTACTCAGTCTCTCCCCAACCCCAAGGTCAGTCCCATTCTACAACAGTGGCACCATGCAATATTTGTCCTTTTGTGAGTGGGATATTTCACTCAGCATAATGTTCTCCAGAGTCAACCATTTTGAATAATATTGCATGAGTTCCTTGTTTTTCAATGCAGCGTAGTATTCCATTGTGGGAATATACTATAGCTTCTCTATCCATTCATTTGTTGATGGGCACTTAGGTTGTTTCCAACTCCTTGCTATTGTGAACAAAGCTGCAATAAACATGGGTGTGCATATATCTGCTTGGATGTCAGTTATGGTCTCTTTGGGGTATATTCCCAGTAGTGGAATTGCTGGGTCAAATGGTATCTCTATTTGCAACTTTTTGAGAAAGCGCCATACTGCCTTCCACAGTGGTTGCACCATTTTACACTCCCACCAATAGTGAATAAGGGTTCCAGTTTCCCCACAGCCTCGCCAGCATTTGTTGTTTGCTGTTCTGTTAAATTTTGCTATTTTGACTGGGGTGAGATGATATCTCATATTTGTTAACAGTTACTCTTAGTGATGGGTTTTGGCAGAGCTTTCAGACCAAGGCTAAGAAGAAAGATCTGGCGATCTACTTCTAAAAATTATACAATGGGAAAAAAAATTAAGGGCCACAACAGAATGTTGTCAGATGCAAAGCTGGAGGTTGAGCCCCATAGGTTAGAAAATGCCCCAAATACACAGTATCCTCTGGCTGCAACAATGGACTCAAGCATAAGAGCGGCATGAAAGTCATGCAGATTGATGTAATATTTCATTCTGCTGTTTGTGGGGCTGTTGTAAGTCAGAGCTGATTCTGTGTCAAATATTAACAACAATAATAATAAATTGCTACTTTCTAAAATGATGATTATTAAAAGTATAGGTATATATCCACATTAATAGCTCAAGTTCGTTTATATTCTTTTTTTATAATTAATTTTAATGAAAGTTTATAGACTTAGGGTTTCCATTCATTCATTGTTACACTTTTCTCCCTGCCCATTCCCTCCCCCTCAATTTGCTCTTCTCTTTGAAAAGTAAAAATCTTTCATTGTTATACAGTCCACCTCCCCCTAAGTACACTCCACTGTGCAGCCTTCCTTATGGACTCCTGTCATGACAATAATGCCTAATCATATATCCCTTTTAAGCAGTTCTCTCCCTCATCTGTTTCAATGTAGTATACCTTATTGAATCCATTTTTCTCAGTCTCCCCCAACCCCAGTGTCAGTCCCATTTTACAACAGTGGCCCTATGCAATATTTGTCCTTTTGTGCCTGAGATATTTCACTCAACCTAATGTCCTCTAGGGTCACCCATTTTGAATAGTCTTGCATGAGTTCCTTGTTTTTCAATGCAGTGTAGTATTCCATTGTGTGAATATACCACAGCTTCTCTATCCATTTGTTGGTTGGCAGTTCATGATGTCAGTTCCAACAAAATTCCTACCCACAGGTAATGAATGGGAAGATGACTTTGCATATGAGATTCTATAATCTACTTTCTTGTTCCCATTCTGTCTTTTCTTACCCATATTAATGCATCTCATAATTTTCCTCTTTATGCTCTTTTAATATAGTTTCTGTAGGACAAAGTTTTTTAACTTCTTCAATATTGACATTGTGGGTCAAATAATTCTTTGTTGTGAGCAGGGAGTAATGTGTACATTGTAAGTTGTCTTGTGTATTTTAACTCCACCAACTAGATATCAGAAGCATTCTCCCTTCCTAAGTTGCGACAATCAAAAATATCTTTCATTATTGCTCAATATCCTCTCAAAAATATCTTTCATTATTGCTCAATATCCTCTGGATGTAAAATAATCTTCTGTGGAGACCTACTCCTCTTGATGACAGGTAAAGAAAACAGAGTTAGGGAAGAAAAACAGAGGTGTGAGTAGAGTCTGGGAATGAGACTCTATTCACGTATTATATGAGTATGAACATTCATATTTACAATAATATGAATGTATTATAAGAGACAGGAAGGAGTTTCTCTATATAAGTATGGTAAGTTTAAATTGTTTAACATGCTTTCAGCCTAGTGATAAAATAGCCAAGTGTATGCAAACAATATAAAGCACTCTTCTTATATTATTGTAAAATGCAAATGTTATTCAAAGTTTCTCTGATTTTTGGAGATTTTATTATAGCTGCTACCTCCAACTTTTAGCCCTTAAAGTTATACAGAAGTGTACTCTTACTGGTTTCTTCTCTTGTTTCTTCCCCCTTCTTCTCCATCACATCATATATATGTGTCATGTAATTCCTCCATTTAATGGCCTTGGTATATACCTTGAATTTGAGAATAACACATAGGGATGCTCTTCAAATTACTGAGAAACAGTGATGTCAGTTTTAGGAATAAGGTGAGCCTGATACAGGCCATAGTCTTTTCAATCACTTGCTATGCATCTGCTATCTGGACAATGAAAAAGGATGATAGAGAAAGAGTTGATGCCTTTGAATTGTGGTGTTGGAGAAAAGTACTGAATACTCATGGTCTAACTAAAGAACAAACAGACATATCTTGAAGAAAGTAGAGCCAGAGTGCGCCTTGGGGTCAAGGATGACAAAGCTGCATCTCACACACTTTGGGTGTTTTTCTAGGAAAAGCTATCTCTTAGAAAGGGACATTATGCTTGGAAAGGTAGAGATTTGGTGAAAAGAGAGACCTTCAACAAGATGGATAGACACAGTGACTGCTGTAATGGGTTCAAGTGTGTCAGAGATGATGAGGATGGCACAGGATGGGACAGGGTTCAGATCCATTGTTTATAGGGTTGTTGCAAATCATACTCAATTTGCCACCATCTAGAAACAACAAAATAGAGATTACATTACACACACACACAGGAACTACATCATACACTATTCCATTGCTCTTTTAATGACTCTCTGCATTTTAAATTTATTTTATGGGTCTCAATCTGCTCCTTTCACCAAACCAGAGTTCCCATTAGCTGATTTTAACCTGGAAAGTAGTCTGTAGAAAAAGAAAAATGTTCTGGCTATCCTTTCAAATTACTTTTTCTTGATAAGCAGCCTTCCTTTGCCTAAATTCAAGAATAAAAATCCCTTATTTCTTTATATTTGTTACTTTAAAAATGAAAGTGTATTATTGAAAGATTGGAAAGTTCAATTTCTATTGGAAGTGAATTCAGAGAGATGAGAGTTAGATATCAAAAGGTACCTCCATGTCTGATGCTGGAACAAAAGGATAGAGACATGTATGCTTTTGCCTGGAACCTTTCAACAATGGAGACTTATCCATCTGCTAGGGCTTGTCACATTTTAGGGAGGCTTTATGCCCAGCACCCTTCCTACTAGACAGACTCTGCCTGGGCTAAGTTGCTCCTCCTGAGGGCCCTGACCATGGCCCCCTTCATTTCCTTGTTCCGGAAACTGTAGATGATGGGGTTGCACATGGGGGTGATGATGGTGTAGAGGAGGGAGAAAGGCTTGTCTTTGTCAGGCCCGTGTGTGCTGCGGGGGTTCATGTAGGAGAACATGGCTGAGGTATAGAAGAAGATGACCACAGTCAGGTGGGAGGCACAAGTGGAGAAGGTCTTCCCCCGACCAGAGGAGGAGGCCCTGCCCAGGATGGAGGCCAGGATGCGGGCATAGGAGATGACAATGAGCACCATGGGGCTGAGCAGCACCACAATGGCATCAGCAAAGATCACC